TGTGAACTTAGTGTCCTTTCAAAGACACTGACTGCAGTTTGAGCAAGATGGCTATTCCCTTGTCTCCCATGGCAATAAACCTGCCGGAGATCACTGTCATGCAGTCTCCTCATGAGGAACAACTGTCTGGAACAATCTCAAGTCTTTTCTTTGTCCAGAAAGGAATGATCAAAGAGCCAGTCTACTTGCCAGCTCTTCATTCCACCACAGTCAGCAGTTGGTTTATTTGATTGAGGCTAAAATAGAAAAAAAATATGTTACCTATGGTAATCCTTAATGGAATTTTGCTGACATCAGTATTGAAATGACGATGCTTTATGGATTTGTTTATAGATAAGAGTTGGGATATGGGAAGAAGAGATCATTTGTTGTATTTTAAGAGAAGGTGATAAGTTACTAAAATTGTTTGTACTTTTTGTGATGAAGGTAGGAAGTCACTTCTTTATATATTTCTTTTCTTTTTCTTTGCCATATTCTTATTTTTTCTTTTTTTTCTGTTTCTGTTTCTGTTTCTCTTTTTTCCTTTTTTCCTTTCTTTTCTGCACCTTTTACTTTTTCTTTTTATTCTTTTAGTTTTTTTTTCAGTTTGTATTAGTTTTTATTCCTGTAATTATAATTTGTAATAAAATTACTATTAAAAAAAAGATACATTTCAAATGAACCTAGTGTGATCTTATCTAATATGGATCTGAAATCTTACTTACCAGGCTTTCTTAATGTCCTGGTTAAGTTTTCCTGTGTTGTCAGGAAGTTCAGCAGGAAAGGTTTTCACTGACATGTAGGTAGGGATACAAATGCGGAGTCTCTTATGCATGGCAGCTGCTGGTTGCATCAGATGGGGAGATGGTCAGAGATGGTCAAATGGCAAGGAAGAAAATAGAGAAAACAAGTTATAGCTTAGCTGGTTGCAGACAGTTTCTGATGCCTAGCAATCACTTCTTAATCACGGAGAATCCCGGGATGGTTGGTAAAATCAGGTTGTTTCCAGGCTTGGCTCTTCTCCAGAGGATTTGAGGATGTAAGTGGCTGTGAAGTGAGTGGTTGCAACCATTCACATGAATAGGGCAAGTGATTCAAGGCATGCAAAAACAAATTAAAAAAATAAAAAAGGCTGGAGTGACATGCAGAAGCACTTGGGGTAGAACAGAGCTATGGGGCTCTTTATCCCTTAACAACTTTGCATATTTGCACACTTGATTAACCATCTTCAGTAAACTGAATGGGAATTCCTTTGTAGTTGGAATTTTTGTACATATGTGTACATACATGTGCAGCTGGGAATAACAAGGCACGTTATAATTTCCATATCATTGTATTCTGCCACTTCTGGATGACATATATTCCACATAAGCAGTTTCACTTTTTTACTTTTTGTAACATATTGCAATAATGAAAAAAAAATCCATATGTTGCTCTGGTTCAGATTTCTGAACACGAAGCCTCACCTTTGTGGAGAATTCATTCATACAATACTTCAGGTGGTTGCAGGCTTTCAACAAAATGACAGAATCAATCCTAACAAAAGAAATAGCTTTATTATCTCTTCTTTCTGTTTGTTCTGTATTCAGAGCATCCTGCTGGGGCCTCTTGTTTGTTTGTTTGTTTGTTTGTTTTTTCAGAATCCATGTTAGTTATTTTAATCCAACTGTCTTCTGCATGAAGCTCGCATGTTCATAAAAGCTAGCCATTTTACATTTGATAATCAAAATTTCAAATTCACATGTAGGAGGCTTGGCAGGAACTACAAATATCACATCTGATTTATCAGAAATGTGTTAGATGTCCCTTTTTCTGTAAGTAGAATGCCATCAGGGTACAAAAAAAGTGGTGATCCTGCTCAGATTTAAGCATGCCTTGGGTTACATCTGGAATTAATAAAGGCCCTGAATATACTATTCTAATTTTGAAAACAATGGATTTGTCTGGAACCAAATGATACTCATGCACATCTTATATGTGTATTTTCAAATTTCAGACCAACACTAATAGGTAGAAAGACAGATAGATAGATAATAAATATAATTTTAACTTAGTTTGAGCTAGACAATGGCTATATATGAAAATTGCTGGGAATAGGGATATAAATGAATGTACCTATTTTCTAAAGTTAACTCTCTTTCTTTCTCTCTCAACAGTTCAACTTTCCTGCCCAAACTCCAGGCTGTTTCAGAACAATACCTTTCTCTCCAGGAAAGAGCAGAGAGACAAATAAAAGGTTTGCAGGAACAATCTCAACTGCATCAGTTTGAGAGAGAAACCCAGTTAGTGGATGCTTGGCTGTTGAGCAAACAGAATATGGCTGAATCAGATAACTATGGTCAGGATTTGGAGAATGTGGAGGTAAAACAGATGTCGTCCTTGGAATACTTCAACTAGACTATTTTATTATTCCTGACATTCCTTGGTTATTAAGTTACATAAGAGATTGGCTACAGGTAGCAGTGGTTGACATATGTTTATTACTATCAGTTGTTAATAATACTAAGGTACAAGACTGAAAAAGCCAGATTTTTTTAAAATTTGCACCAAACTCTCAATAAATACAAAGACATCAGATATTTTCACCATTTAATTGTGCAAAGGTTCTTGAAGATACTAGTAATCAAAGTGCACACTTTTTGAACAATGCTGACTTTTCATACACTGTTCACCACTTTTTGACATTATCTTAAGACTAATATCAAGAAATAGGAGGATTTTGTAGGTATTCAAGATTCTGAATAACTCAGACTGTTATTTCTTTGTCCATTATACAGGTTCTAGAGAAAAAATTTGAAGATTTTATGAAAGAGGTAGAATCTCTAGGCCGTGCCAAGATCCTCCTGATAAATAATTTAGCATCCCATCTTAGAACTGGGTGTCATAGTCAGATAAGCCACATCCAAAAGAAGACCCAGTATATCCATGACAGATGGGAGAGATTGCAGCAAGCTGTCCAGACAAGAGCAGAGGTGAGCTTCCTGGTATCTAGACGGGCTCAAGAGGGCATGAATGAGCAATGTATGGCTTATGTGTTGCATATCACCGCAGCCCTTTTTTGTAGTTTTTAAAAATTAGATCACCCAAGTTTGGCAGAGTGATTATGAGCTTTTGTGTTAAACAGTAATATGAAGTAAAATAAGTGTGTTGAGTTTTTAATAAGCTTTATACACCTTTTTGATTTTCTTACCTTCCCCAAACCTCCAAATTTGAAAAGTTTTAGGTAAACTCATCAGGTATTTAAAATATAATGTATATTACATGAAGTGTAATACCATAACAATGTGAGTCAGTATTCCTCACTTGGGTCTGTTGTACTTCATGAGCATTTTTAAACTGGTTTGTTAGAGACAAATCTTACTGATATATTTTTCCCTTCATCAGAATCTCAGGGCAGCTCATCAGGTTCATCAATATGATCGTGATGTGGATGACCTAAAATGTTGGATGCAGGAGAAAGAGGCTGTTGTGGACAGAGATGATTATGGTTATGACCTGCCTGGAGTTCAGACTCTCCTTAGCCAACATGAAGGAGTGGAGGTTAGTGGAAACAGCCACCTTGAAAAAATTGACATTACAGATATAACCAAAAGATCTGACATTTCAGTCTGCAGAAGTTCCAAGTTCACAGCCTTAAAGCAGTTCTCTTGGCTGCTCTCTTAGTATAAACTCTTAATAGCAGTCTACACAGGGAACACTTGACATTTCATTCATTCATTCATTCATTCATTCATTCATTCATTTTTATTGTGTTTCATATTGCTTCTTGTGCGGGATAATTGATTTTTTTTAAAAAAATTATAAAATCATTGTAAAATAGAACAAAAGTTAACAGCAGTAAACAACATAATAAAAACAAAGTAAAAGCAGAGTGTAACAGTATATTTAAATCAAAATATCAGAGAGAGTTAGGATTGTTCCTCACCCCCAAATCAATGCACTTTCTTCAAGTCCTTGAGTGCTTTGTCCTGTCAGATGACCTCTATTCTCCCTCTGTAACACAATCAGCGAGTGCTGTTGTCTTAACAAGTTTAATATGGGACAAGTTAAGTAAAGTGATTAGCTGATTTCCTCCTGGCGGGAAAAATATCCACCATTTGTAGGGGAGCAGGCAAGTATTGACCAAACTTGTGATGGGGGCTTCTACATTACCCAGAAGTCCCTTTCCATCTACCACCTGGTGCACAGGTGCCATCTCACATTGGTTCTCTCTCTCTCTGACTCCCTCTCTTGCTCAGTCGGTCCCCTTCTACACATTGCTTGGGACTGTATTAATGGCAAAGAGGAAAAGGTGATTCAGATCCATCTCATTCAGCCAATAAAAGGATATGAAGCCCTATGGAAAAGAAGCAATAACTGTGCCTTGAATATTCCAAATTGTTTTCCTTTGTGTATTACAGAGGGAACTAGCGGCCATCGCAAAAGAGCTGGAAAGGATTAGAGGAGAGGCCTGGCATCTGGGTCACCTCTACCCCCTGCCCAGGGAGAACATGATGAACAGACTTTCTGAGGTTGATGAGTGCTGGGAGAAACTAGACAAGAAGTCTGCGGAAAGGAAGCTGAAATTGCAGCAGGCTGAACAAGTCCAAATCTACTTCAATGACTGCAGAGAGCTGGTGTATGTATGAATTAGCCTGATAGAAAGGGGAGCTTCCTTTTATAACGTTGAAGGCAAGCGGGGGGGGGGGGGGGGCAGATGAAACCCTGATACAGCAAATTTTAAAAACATTTGGATATACTGTATGCATATCTATATTCAATGTTTCAGTGCAAACCATATTTAACATTTTGACATATATATGGATTAATTGCTTACCATGTGCCCCATGTATCTACTAAGGCAATAATCCCTCTTTTTTTTTAATTTTGGGGATTTCTGCAGGGCCTGGGCAAGAGAGATGCAGTCTCTGATTGTCTCAGAGGAGTTAGCAAATGATCTTCTGGGGGTTGAATTGCTTATTAAACGCCACGAGGAATACAAGCGTGACATAGACAAGCAGTGGTTGAAATATGAAGATCTGGAGCAGATTGGAAATAATCTGGTGAAGGAAGGACACTTTATGTGCATGGAAGTAAGCTACTGATTAAAGAAAGCAATTAGCTTGAAATAGCAGTGATAGCGTATCGTGAAGCTTCAGGGTATATATCCATAATATGGTTAATCTGTCTGCTTCTGTTATTTTATATTTCTGCATTTGCACTGTTGTTGTGAGATGCCTAGAACTACATGAGAATGAACTTTAAATGTTTAAAATGAACTGAATCAGTGAATGAATTCACTGCATTAGGCCATTGGAGTGAGTGACCTATGAACTGCCTTCTTGCAACTCAGTTCTGTTTGCATTGGTAAATAGGATAGCATAAATTATTGTTATTATGACACACACACACAAGGGGAGGGCTCTAGGAAAAGGAGTTAAGACAAGACTGGCGCATGATCAAATCTAAGATTCTTCTTGCATCAAAGCAGGAAAGTTTGCATGTTTGGTTTCGACACTTAATATACAAACATACCAACCTTCCTAACTAGGTTCAGAAAGCAGCCGTGACCTGACAGCAAGAAAAAAATAGGAGCATGACATCAAGATCCTTGCTGAACCCAAATGAAACTAATGGAATAGGATACTAGTCAGTGAGATACCAAAGCTCTTCTCAGAATGCGCTAGGGCAGACTAAGCATTAGCATGTATGTTGCTTACTACCTATCTTCTTGAAAAAGTCAGTTTTCACACTCTTTTGCCCTGGGCTTGTTTCCTGAGCAAAGCCTAAACAGTTACAAATCCACTTACCTTTACTAAAATGCTTGCAGTTGCCTCGCTTTCTAGTTGAAGCTGGTATTCTCTCTCTAATTTCCTTACAGGGCTTGTCTGGGGAAGGACTACCTATTCTTTCAGAGAGGCTGCAGAGCATTTAGGCACTGGTTCTGTAACTTTCTTATAGCGCAATCTGTAAAAAAAAATAAAAATAAAAATACAGTTTTAAAACTGAGGACCTCATAACTGCCCTTGAAAACTGACAAGCTGTATGCCCCACTACCAGAAGTCAGCAAAAACCAAGTTTCATGCTTTCCTCATGCTAAACTTTCAGAAACGATATGCCAATGCTTGTACTTTATAAAGTGAAAAATGAATGGGCCTTTTGGGGCATATGCATCTCCTTCCTTCCTTCCTTCCTTCCTTCCTTCCTTCCTTCCAGCTACAAGCTACAATTCCCAATTTGTTTAAACTGGAAAATTGTGGGTAACAGTTCAACAAACTATGATTTTAATAGGGTTTAATTCATCCTACACTGAATCTTAATTCTACACATCTATAACACAAGCAGTGATTCTTGGAGATGTCCTTGCACAAGGAAAATTACTCTGAACAGTAAAGCCTTAACCTGACACTGTCCAGATATGTTGGGACTGCAACTCCAAAAATATTAGCTGGAAATCCAAAAATATTAGCTGGAAATTCTGGAAATCCAAAAATATTAGCTGGAAATTCTGGAAATCCAAAAATATTAGCTGGAAATTCTGGAAATTGCAGTCCCGTACATCTGAGTACATCTAAAAGATACCAGGTTGGGCAATGCTGAGGTAGTTAATTTAACTTGTTTCACTTCTTTAAAAATTACTCTGAATCTTGTTTCTAAAGTGACTTCAATAAACATCAATTAATTATTGCACTTGTATTTGTGGTATGAATGTATAAATGACTTAGGAGATTCCAGTTTAATTTTCTTTTCAACTGCAAGACTCACTTGTCTTACCTTCTTTTCAGAGTGATTGGAGGGTCAAAATATGGATGGCATAAGGCACCTAGATAAGGTTTCAGAATAAATAAATTGATCTTGTGATCTAAAAAAAGCACAAACAGCATAGGGAGAGAATAAAATTGCAACTTGATATGAAACAACCTGGTCAAGTTCAAGATCCTCCAGAGCTAAACCCAACATGTGATCCTTCAGAGTCTATGAAGAAAGTGGGAAGAAGAGAACAGGATCTATTTGAAAAGTTCGCCTTGGTCGTGATATCTGAATAACTGCATATGCTGACCTTTACAATGATACTCAGCTTGCCTTATTATGATCTGTAAGGGGAGTAGAAATTGCTAAAAGATCCTTTTGCTAAGTATGAATTTTGCTGGGCAAAAATTTGCTGGGCATTTTTTCGGAAGCCATTCTGTTTGCATTTCTCAAGATAAAAAAAAGTAATTGCAGTCTCCAAGCACAGACTAGTCAAGTCCATAAAATATTCAGCTTTCTATCTTAGAACTGCCAGACTTCCAGACAAGGCTTATATTCCACAGTTATTCTGCCTCATTTGTGGAATTTGAAGCCAAACCTTGTGTTCACTCTTCTCTTTGTCCATCTTTTTTCTTAGAACAAATATGTGTGTGTGTGTTCAGGTGAGAAAGGTAAAATTGCTGTATAATACCTTTTGACTGGAAGTTTTAACTCTGTCCACAAGCACCCTAGGAAATATATTTTAATAAATAGGGTAGTGTTGGTCAAATATAATGCATATCAGATAGATGTAGTTGTACACTGTGTGAAGCTGGCTGAAATTTGCTTTGTACCTCTTTAGATATAAAAAGGAATCTTGAAATATGTAAAAAAAAGAGCAGATCAAAAGTAATAGAGTTCTTAAGGTAACACTCTAAAGTTCAAGCAATGCAGGAGCATTTCTCTAAGCAAGAGCACAGAAATAGGGGTGCCTGGTTGGTATCCTACCAAGATTGTGGCTGATGTTTAGCACTCAAAGGGTTAAGCTTTAACCTTAGAGAAGGTAAAATATAAATGTACTGGTAACTGCTGTTAAGAAGATCGGAAGCTGCTTTTTTATAACTTTTTCTTTTCTTTTCTTCCTCTTCTCTATTTCTTTCTTTGTACTTTTTTTCACTTATTACTTTCCTCTCCTTACTTTTCTCTTTCAAAATTTGTATTGTTTTTATTCTTTTAAAAATTTCTTTAATAAAAATGATATGTTAAAGGGGTTGAAGGTGCCGGTGAGAATTACTTCTGGGAAGTTATAAATACCACTGCAATCTGAAGATGTACTATCTGCTACAAAAATCTTTACATTATTAGTTCCTGAATATTTATTTACTTATTTAACAAATTTGTATAGCCACCCATCTCATAAAACCTGATTCTGGGCAGCGTACAATACATAAAAACAATAAAAACCAGGAATATGTCTCAAACATAAATTAAAAAACAGAACAGAAAACAGGAACATAAAAATCCAAGATAGTGAGAGAACAACCAACACTTGACATCACACAACTACCTTGCTGGCTCCCCATGGGACCCCCAGGGTTGATGGAAAAACCATGTTTTGAGGGCTTTCTGGAAGGCAAGCAGAGATGGGGCCAATCTCACCTCAGGAGAAATGATGTTCCAGAGGGCAGGGGGCCACAGCAGAAAAGACACGCCATCTGGGTCCTGCCAAATGGAACTCCTTAGTAGATGGGACCCACAGCATATCCCTCCTGCTTGACCTGATACAAGTAGCTGTAACCAGGAAGTGGCAGTCCCTCAGATAACCTGGTCCCATGCCATATAGGGCTTTAAAGGTCAAAAACAGCACCTTGAATTGCATCCAGAAGCAAACTGGTAGCCAATGCAGCTGGCAGAACAGAGGTGTAATGTGTGTCATCCTAGGGGCACACATAACTGTCCACACAGCTGTATTTTGCACCAACTGAAGCTTCCGGATACTCTTGAAGGGCAGCTCCATGTAGAGCGTGTTACTGTAATCCATTCTAGAGGTGACCAGGGCATGAGTAACTGTGAGTAGAGCCTCATGGTCCAGGAAAAGGCACAACCAGCGCAAAACACAAAATTGTGAAAAGGCCCTTCTAGGCATGCCCTGCCACCTGCTCCTCAAGCAGGAACTGTGAGTCTAGAAGGACCTCCAGGTTGCGCACAGGGTCTGTCTAGGGCAGTGCCACCCCATCCAGCACCAAAGATGGTAAAAACCTGGATTCAGAAGGCCCCAAAACCCAGACCCACTCAGTCTTGCCAGGGTTCAGCTAAAGCCTGTTGTTCCCATATCCATATGTTCCAATATCCATTTGCTGTTATTCTCTCAGATATTTTTAAAAATTGTTTAAAGGGTATGGCTAGTTAATCTTTGTTGCTTATTGCTTGTTGATGTTAGTTGGTATTGTACATCACTTTGGATTTCTTTTGAGAGATAAATCTTATTTAAGAAAAAAAAAAATCATTCCACTGCTGTGCATAATTTAGGATTGAGTTCCCCAAAGCAAAATAGCTCAAGAGGTTTTCTAGAATGAGGTCACAAATTCAGCTCACATAACAAATGAGAAATGAAATGATCAACTTCTGTATTTTTATTCCCATCCTTCAATTGTGATATGAGAATTTGTTTCTCTAGATCGAAGAGAAACTCTCTGAATTATTGGAGCTAATGCAGAAAGTGAAGGAATTCTGGGATATGAAGAAGGATCTGTATGAGGAAAACTGGGAGATCCAATTACTGAAAAGGGAGCTGGACTTTGCTGAAGCCTGGATGACAGCCAAGGAGAGTTTTCTTTCAGATTCAAATTATGGGGTAAGCAAGCATAGCATAATGCAAAAAGCTAAAATCAATCCTGTCCCAAAACTACTGTGTCATTTCTCGAACCTTTTATTCACCTGCTTCTATTTTTTTATCTTTTTCCCAGAATACTGGGAAATTTCTTTAGAATTTCTCTCGATACTTTATGAACTGTGTTTACTGGTGGCAGTGAGGAAGGGTGCTATGGCTGTTGTTATTTTCTGTTACACGTCTTTCCATCATTCAGTAGTTTCTCTGGCTGCCACACTTCCCATTCTGCAAAAGCCCCATCGGGAGGAAGGAGTTTCTGTGTTAGATTTTGCAAGAATCTCCCTTCATTTTGCTCTTGACAGCTCTGTGAGGTAGTATGGCTGAGGCAGAATGACTGGCTCAAATTCATCCAGTGAGTCTTCCTGAAAGTAGATCCATGTGGCGTAGGCTTATGGCTTAATTGCATAATATAAAAGAATTCCCTCCCCAGCCACAGTGACAGCAAAGCTGACCTTCTTGGTATGCACCAATGTTGCCATCAGGAGGGGGGGAAACTCCCACTGATATCAACGCTGTTTGGGTGGGAATTTCTAGTGAAATTGCTGCAGTCACTGCTTGCTGCTGAGCCAATGAATATTGGCACCCCACCCTTCCCCATAAACTGTTCCTTCAAAATTGAATCTTCTTGTCATATGGAGAAGATAAAGACCCAGATCTTGTTGCCTTCCCAGCATTCACATTCAAAATATAACCTCGTTAATGAAGAAATGGAAAAAGTCATCTGGACTTCATTAGCTGGAAAGCATACCACTCCTCACAGCCAAGTTGGACTATTTCTTCCATTTCTCTCCCCCTACTCTGTTCTTTTCTCTGTCTTTTTTTTTCCATGGCCTTTCCATATTAAATGATTGTCTTTATGGACATGCTTCCCTAGAATTCTGTCACTGACGTTAAACACCTGTTGAAGAAACATCAAGACTTTGAAAAAATGCTAGAGGCCCAAGAAGAGAAGTTTGTACAGCTGAATAGAAAGACAAAGGTACTGTGTTAAAAGCCAAAAGGTTCTGCAGACAGTATATAAATACCTTTCATTGTCTTTCCCAAACCCATGTACTTTTATAGTTGAGCTTAATAATAAGGTGGCAATTCACTTGACCCAACCTGTTTTTTACATTATGCTTGGCCCTCTTATGATTATTTATGGACTACTATGTCCAACAATAGTCCAATGATTTATAAAAGAAAAGAACAGCCTCCAAACCAGATAGATTTAAAGCACAGAAATGATGGGGGGAAGTTTTTAGGGTTTTTTTCTCAAGTGTCTTGCATATGTGCACTCTGCTTTTCCTGTATAGAGCAGTGCCTTTTGTCCCACTCTGAAAATTGCAGAGTATTACCTCCTCCAACCTTCTCACTTCCAGCATGGATATCTACAAGGAAATGTCCATGTCTCTCAGTCTTTGCAGATTTTTCTTTGCAGACTATGGCTGTCAGGACCAGAGCCAGAAGTGCTACTTTTGATGGATGTGTGAAGTGAGCTATTGTTTCCATAGATGTGATCTTGCTCAGAAAAACAGATTGAGACAATGGCAGTTGAGGGATGGATTAATCTCCTCCTGTCTTGATTATTTTCTTTTCTTAAATCCCAACTTTCAGCATTCTTACTGATTTTTGCTTCTCCTGTGAAATAGCTACCACAGAAGGTCATCTACAAGAGCACTACATTTACCAATGCCTCTCTGCCAATTTTCCAAAAGTTTTCTTCCTCTGGGAAAGAAGAATGTTTTTCTACATCATTCTGAGAATGATTTTACATTTTTGGGGGTTTTTTAAAACTGCATTATTTTTGCAAGGTAGTAGAATACTCTGATGTGGTTAGACTTCTCTCTGTAGCCTCCATGACTACTTCTACTTCGCAGTCTATGGCCAGCAGTATGTGATCTGTTCAGGATGAATATTTGTCAAAAGAAGCAAAAATGGTTGTGCCTAAGAGTGTTTCTGCCTACTTTGTTATACATAACTGAGAGTTAGTTGCATCAGGAGAAACATAAAAGTAAGTTGAATACAATGGCAAAGGATTCCTTAAGAGGTGTGTGTAGGAAAACAAGAGGTAAAGTCAAGAATTAATGGATGATAAGTGAGCATAGATTAAATACAAAAGAGAGTGATGAGCATGAAATCGCATTACTAATATACAAAGAATGAATGAAGATCAAATTGCAGAGCAAATATCTGAGGGAAGAGTGGTTGAGTCAAGAGGAAGAGGAAGATTGAGAAAGTCATGGTTGGATAGAATTGATGAGATCTTCAGTAAGAGACAAATGAATAGTTTAAAAATAAAAGACAGTATATGATTCACTACCTGGTTGTGGTGGAAACAAGGATGTTTTGCAAGGACTGGAAGGTGTAGAGTCATGTAGTAAATGGGGTTAAGATAGATAGTTGTTTAATTAGATTTCCTTTTCTCTTATTTCTCACCTTTAATTTCTTTTACCCACTATTTTTCACTCTTTGCTTCATTTTTCATAAAGTCACTTACTCTGAAAGTGTCAGCCCATTACAGAAAGCGAATAGTGTGATGGATATGTATGTATGTAAGTATGTATTTATGAAGTTGTTTTTTTGTGATCTACTCCTTTGAAGTATATGTTCCTTCATATATTTGCCAGTGACTACTGGTGTAAGTTACAGCCAAAGAATTGACAATAGAGACAAAATAGTGAATCCGTGGAGCTGCTACCAAACTGCGTGTTCTTTTCTTTCACAATGGGAGGGGGGACAGTCATGAAAATTCAACATTCAGACTCAGTTGTGGTTTCCTGGTGGTATAGAAACTATGTGGGACATTTGTAACAAACTTACATTCAGAGATGAAACCTTCCATGCTCATATGCATATCTGTTCAAGGAATGGATAATTCTGTGTGCAGAAGACTAATCTCATTTGACAAAGTGGCAAGAAACTTGCAAATTTCATATACTAATAATAGGTTTTCAATAGAAAGCAGGAGCAGTCTTCTGTGTCTCCTTTTACTCATTCCAAATGATTGTTCCTTTCAGAAAGAATTGAAGCTTCTGAAACAAATGACTATAGAAGAGAATGAGCAAATGCCAAAATTGATCAAAGTCCCCTCACTAAGAAGGCGACATTCAGATAGAAGAACCACAATGCTTGAGCCAAAGAAAACTCAGCAACTACCACCTATGTCTTCAGTTCCCAACTTAAGAGGGCCCCTTAATGTCTCTCCTACCCAAAACTCCAAAGAGAGTTTGCACCAATTCAGTCCTGAAGAAGACCTGATGTTGACAAGCTCAGATTATATAAGTGATTCTCCTGAACCAAGAGTGCTTGGCTTACAGAATTCCATGCCAGAAACTGAGAATTCTTTGCTTCTGTCATTGACCTCAGACTTGAAAATCCAGCAATCTGATATTGGATTTTCGCAGACACACAGTAGCAATTTTAAGCCATCAGATGTGAAAAACATTTGTGAAACTTCCACCTCTGAGTTAGAAACTAATGAAATGAAAACTCTGGATGATAAAGGATCCCCTGACATTTCCCAAACTTTTCTGCACTCAGATTTATCATCGGAAGGATCAGAAACTGCTTCCCAAGTAAGTTATCATTAATTTTTGTGTTACTCTTTTGTTGATTGAACATTGAATTCATTACTTATTTTTGAAATAAAATAATCAATCCTGATTCATAAGAAGCATTCCAGAATTCATAATCAGGTAATACCTTTGTTCAGAACAACCAAAAGTACTGCTAATTGTGAAAAAAGGTTTGCAATCTCAGATTTCTTTTTATGGGTCAGTGTTTTTCAAGACTATACTGTATTACTGAAATTCAGATGCAATCTATTATGAAGCACAATTTCCTGCCAATTTTCAGCAAAAAAAAAAAAAAGTCAGGTACATTGATATGCATCCCCCTCCCCCCAAAATAGAAGGGAAAAAAGCCCAAGGCAAAAAGTCTGATCTTAGCCTCTTAATTATGTAATTTGGTTAGTATGGTGTATAGCCTTCAGCCATCAAAAATGGGGTGAGGGATAAGGAAAATGTTAGTAACGACCATAAAAACGTTGCCTCATATTAAGAGAACAGAAAGAGACTCAAACTAAAATAAACTGCTTCACCTTCCAAAAGTTGACATCATTCTAGTATTCCTATTCAGGATTCTTGGAATCGCAGGTTTTGGGTTTCATCTAGGACTGCACAGATACTGGTTGAGTTCTCAATATTCAAAACCCAATATTTACATATATTTGCTTCTAACCTTACACAAAATAGTTTACTTTTATTCTTTGCCCTTTCAAGGAAAGAGAAGCAAGGGGTGTTTCCGGTCATAGGTTCCAATCCACTCACAAAATAGATTGAGCATTTCTGTTTTCTTTCTTTTGTGCTTGGTGCCATTTTTCTGTGGCTGCATGATATTTTTTCACATAAGGAGAACTTTCTTGGCATCACTGACTGGTGCTGCAAAAGTAGGTTCGTTTGCTCTGATGATTGGCCTGAGGCAGTCTGTGCAGCCCTTGTCAGCCCATCTGATTTGCCCTACTATCCATCTCCTAGTTTGATGATAAAGCATCAGGCCTGAATAAAAAGTCATCCCAAGAAGCAGGCCACCATGACAGGGGATCAGATGCATTCAATTTACTGTATTTAACTTTGTACTAGTTGCGGGGAATACGTTTTTCAGCGGGAAACTGAATGGGTCAAGAGAAGCTAATTGCCTGGGATGTTCTGCTTGCAGAATGGCTGGTTGTCTGAAATCGTTCACTGTAATTTTATATTTGCTGAACACTAGAGAAAGCTGCTGCCCCCAGAATAAATTAGACATTTTCCAAATTGCATATAAAACATAGTAATCCTCAAAGATCCATCAGAAACCTCCTAAAATCCCCATTCTTAAGCAACACTGTTTATTAGAATCAATCTTATCTGTACAAAGGTGTGAGCATCAACTAAGCTGATGTGCGGTGCTTCAGATTCAATGGCCTGTCATTTCAGCATATGATAGAAAAAGGCAACAACTGTCATTGACCTTTCATGACAGAAAGCACAATTTTTTCTTTGAACATACAGTTCCTTTGTCCTTATGCTAGAAATCTGCCATTTCCCTTCTTTGTGATTTATAGTATCTTCTAGCACAGTGTTTCTCAACCGTGGCAGCTTTCAGCAAGGCTGGCTGAGGAATTCTGGGATTTGAAGTCCACACCTCTGAAAGCTGCCAAGGTTGAGAAACACTGGTCTAGCATCGCCCAACCATAAGGCAAAATATAATCTATCCTCATTACTCTGACTTTGGCAGAAGGATTGTTAAATTAGTTGGATGATCCAATAAAACTTTATAAATCACTAGTGAGGGTAATGGCATCTGCTCAGTCAGAGGCCTCTAGCATGTAGGATTGCTTCAGTAATTCAGCCTTCATGATTCCAATACATAAAGATTAATATTTCCAAGATGAATATGAGGACTCGATACTTAATGATCTACTGATTTTATACTACCTAAATAAAACTCTTACTTAGTTCCGTCTCCTCCCACTCTACCTCTCAGCTGTACATTGTGTGCGTGGCACTTTTTTCCTTCATATTGTTGTGGAAATGGAACTTATGAATGAACTATTGTATTCAAGCTTTCATCACACTAGATTAAATTACTTGCAAGGATCTTATGCATTTCAGATTTCTGCAAATCAATATACCATGGAAGGTTTTCTAGAAAAGAGAGACCAGGCCCCTTCAAGAGGGAAACCGGTAAGTGTAAGTAGAATGCCTGCATGATATGGAAGGAAAGTTAAGGTGGGACATCATCAGCCTGAGATTATATTAAACTAATTGGATTTTCTTTTTTTATATAAATTTATCTGAAAATGCTAAATCAAGGAGAATTCTGGGTACAATTCAAGGATTGATGTTTTCCTCACCATACTTTTTTCTCTTTCAGAGATTTTCTCTCTCCTTTTTTTCCCATTATATTTATTCTAACCCATGTAAATGTTCCATTTCATTTCTCCCTGTTTCCTGCCCCTTTAGTATTCCTACCAGCATACAGCCATAAAGTTAGCAGCAATGCCAAAATACTATGTCACTAACTTTGTCTTATTGAATTACTTATATTTTGCACATTTATTTATTATAACAATAATAAATTGTTACTCTACTCAAAGAAAGAGAGTAAAACTTGCAGATCCCCTTGGCTTTTATTAATATTTGTCAATATCTTAATTTATGGAAAAGCTGAACTTTTACAAGAATCAGTAATATTTAGCTTACAAAACTTAACTCAATTTTCCTACCAGCAATAGTTTTGTTTAAGAAAAGAAGAAACAATTGATTATGTAAACTTCATTAGATCACAGGTGGGTCTCCCTTGGCTCAAAGGTCCACATGAGGCCCTTCAAAGTTAGTTTTACACCTATGGAGTCCCAGACAGCCCTGCCTATTTTTCCCTGGATTGCTGCTTCCTTGTTATTAAGGGAAGCAGGGAAACAGGAGAACCAGCTTGGTGTAATGGTTAAGGTACCAGGCTAGAAACTGGGAGACCATGAGTTCTAGTCCTGCCTTAGGCACAAAGCCAGCTGGGTGACCCTGGGCAAGTACCCCTCTCTCACCCCTAGGAAGGAGGCAATGGCAAACCACTTCTGAAATACCTTGCCAAGAAAAACTGCAGGGACTTGTCCAGGCAATTGCCAGGAGTCAATGATGACTCAAGGGTACAAGAAAAGGGAGGGGGGATACCACAGCATGGGACAAGAATTTTGTCAATAGTCATAAAAAAGAAGCATTCTGGAGCAGGATCACTGGGATCAGGGCAATTATAAAGCTTTGCCCCTCACCAGGGATGTTTTGGGGACTATGTTCATTTGTGTCCATGGACACATATGCACAGAGAAAGATGCATGTCCTAATTACAGCTGAAGACTGCCTGTGGCCTTAGGACAGAAAGGCTTGCTCCACCCTACATTAGATAACTGAAATCAGAGTGGAAACAAGCTCCTAATGGACAAATAATTGTAAATAATTATGAGATTGATCCATGTACAGTTTGGAAATTGTTGGTTTCATTTTATCTTATTTGTAGCTGAAGACAAGGGCTTGGAACACTTTTTATGTTCAGCTTGGAAGACAAAAACTTGACTTCTATAATGATGAGAAGGATGTAATTCAGGTACTTTATTTTATAATCATTTAGTTCTTAAAAATGCATTACACTCCCACTGAAAATCCCCCCCCCCACTTTTTTTTAAAGGAATGTTGAACGATGGGAGTCTACTTGGTAGACAAAATAATATCTTGTATGATAGCTAGTTAAAACATGCAGTCTGATAAATGACTATGTTTTCTAACACCAAATGACAAATTCATATTAAAAAAAATAAAAACTGCTGGCCACTGTCATCAGCAAAATGTTTGTTTGAAATATTTCTGGATCAAATTTAAAATAGATCTATAGATTGATTTAGATTGATGAATGAACATTCTCTTGCCACTGTGCATCCCAAAAGAGAACAGATTGTGATGAACAGGCCCTGCCTCCAAAATGCCTATTTCCCATTGCACGCATTTTGATTGAGAAGCTTCTACATAATTTTAGAGTTTGAAAATCACTTGCTCTAAAGCAGTGTTGTCCAAACTTGGCCACTTTAAGATGAGTGGACTTCAACTCCCACAAATCCCCCCCCCCCCTGGCTGGGGGATCTTGGGGTTTGAAGACACTCATCCTTAAATGGGCCAAGATTGAGCAA